TTCCCTTTAAAAAAAAAGCACATCCCTACCACTTATTTGCTCAGTTTTACAACCGAAACGTTAAGTCATTTCTAAATAATTGATGGATTTATTTTAATCCGATTTTTTTATGATTTCAAACGTTATTATAGTGGACACTTCTTATTTGAAATAAACGTCCCATTTTTATCTATAAAACATTTTGTATTACGTCTATCGGCCTGGGTACTCGAGAAATCTTATTAAAAAATGTCTCATCCTCCAAGGATGAAACTTGCATCCCCTTCATAGAGAGACCCCTACAAAGGGGAACGCATAAAATCTCAGTGAACCGGATGGGATTTCCTTAAAATGTGAAAATAGAACCTTGCTTACTGGGATGTTATTCGTGACCGGTAGAGTACGCCGAATGAAACGATATATATATATATATATATATATATATATATATATATATATATATATATATATATATATATATATCCGATGCGATGAGAACGAAAGTAATATATAAATTCCAACGTTCACAGCATTAATCCAAAAGAGAGCTCGATACCGATAGTAGAGCGATAATTATTTATTTATTATAATTTTATCATATAGACAAAACCATTTTACTCACTACAAAGATGCAACTTCGTTTCAGTGCATTTCAATTGCACTTCGACGAGTGAGAATCGAAAATGGTTATATATGAGTTATTACATACGAACAAGTAATCATTACAAGATGCATATCTGTTTCGATGCCTAAATGTACGCATCTCATCAGGTGGTGAACAAAGATAGTTATAAATGAGTTTATTTAAAAATGCTACTTATGAAACATCATTTCTTTTTACATTTTTAAAATTTTAGGAAGACATAAGAAGAATTTAAAAGGAAAAGAAAGAAATATATAAAAATTTCCATAAAAAGAAAAGAAAAAATATGCAGGTTAGAACAGAAAAAAAAGAAAAGGACAAGAAATCAATAAAAGGAAAAAGAAAGAAGAAAGAGACATAGACAGAGTTAAGAAAAGAAAAGCATGAAAAAACTCCCTTCTTTGAAGAAAAGGAAAAGAAAAGGAAAAGAAAAGGAAAGAAGAGAAAAAGAAGAAAGGAAGACTAGAGAAAGTGTTGATGACAATTCAGCCAATGAAAAAACATCAACATTGAGATAGGAGTCATACAGAAAGATTAAAAATCTAACCGGATTACAACAAAGTAGAGAATATTTTAGATACAATATATCAGTTAAGTTTGTTTAGCGTTTTGAAAGAAACCAACATGTGTTAACATTAGTTATCGTTTAAGCACCTTTGTTCCCCACCTGATGAGATGCTTAGGCATCGAAACAAGTATTGTAGAGTGATTACTTGTTTCTTCATAAGTAATAACTTATAATAAATAACTATTGCCCTTTTTTTCGTATTGAGCTCTCTTGTTATGAACGTTTGAATTTATATTCTTTTCTTTCTTATTACATTTGTGTATATATATATATATATATATATATATATATATATAATATATTATGAATTAAATCTATGACAGAAATAATATTCGCCAAAAAGAAAGGCTAAATTATAAGAGTGCTCGATACAATTTTCATAAAATAAAAATGCAGGGCAGATTAATATATAAAATATCAGAAAAACTGACCTTCTTGCAACCACAGTTTCTGTGAAGATAGCATTGTTAGCTAACAAGTCATTGTTTCGTTTCAAAAGACCTATATATAATGGTGCTTGTATCGGCAGTAGAAGGAGGAGGAGAAAAGAAAAAGAGATATAGGTGGAAGAGGGAAAAAACACAATAACCGTTGTTATAAGTAATTCTATCCGGTATCATATTTGGACAATAGAATTTTTCATGCGCCTACAGGCTGCCATAATTTCTGTTCTTTCTTTAAGTAATTTGTTTCGATCAAGATATGTCATTATGGCCAGTTTTTCCTCCAGGCAAAGCCTGCACGGCTCGCCTCCGATATTACATGCTCATTTTTTTAAAATAGATCCCATTCAATACTGGAGCTTTTAATATCTGCCTATATCTCTGAGTTGTTTAGTTGCATTATTTACATTATTCGGACTGTTATCCTCATCTTCATTAATATATTCACAACATTTTGGCCGTTGTACGCTCCGACTTTCTTCAAGTGATTTGACTTTCGAACCAAATTCCCAATTTCGTCCACCGGGGTAGATTATTCTAGTTCCACGTGCCATGCATCTTCTGGATGTCTCATTTACTTCCCTTTTAACTCAACTCTCCAAGTGCTATGGTATTGAACTCACAACTTTTTGGGTCTAGTCACTGTACCTAAGCAACATTTTTATCCACTAGGGTATGGCTCCTGGAGGACATCTGTGTGGGAATTTCTGAAACTGTCTCCTGGAGAACATCTGTGTATGAAGTTTTGTGGCTTATAAACCTAATATCTCAGCAACATATTTTTACCAGTGCTCATATTGCATTTTATATCAGAGCTTATATTGTAATTTTTGTTGTTATTCGTTGTTTTTCTCTCGCACTTCTTATTACTGGTTCCCATTTCTATGCTTGGTCGGCTCAGAAGATTTGTGGGGGTATTATCTTTTTTTTTTACGTCCCATAGAAAATTGGCAAGTTTTGTACAATTTTTGTAATTTTCGAGTTTAAAAGAGCATCCATAGTTAAAAGATGGCCTATGCCGGTACAAGCACCATTATATATTTCGTCTTTCAAACTAGCTAATAGTCTGCGTTACAGTGTTTCGACCTTGATGATAATTGCAGTTTGTTTATATTAACTAAAATGTCTTTGGTTCTGCTAGGCCTAACCTTCACGGCTAGGACCCGCCATGCCACTTACATTGTAGCAAACCCCCACCCACATTCCCTCCGTATTCCATCGGTAATAAGTCAATTTCACTCGAACAGTTTTTTTTTTTCCTGAAAACCATTGCTCTGTGGAGCCGATTCCCCATAGGGTGTTTACCTGATCGCTACAATCTTAACCTGTTTATAGTTAACCGTTATCTTCCCCTCCTATCCATAAAAATTACTTCTTAATGTAACCCTCTAGCACGAGTGACCCCGAGCCTTGTACAGGGTTAACCTTACTGTAAAAAGATGTCCATTAACTGTTGTTTCTAGTATTGGTAGGGTTTCTGATGTGATGTGGGGTCTGGCAAGATACAACACAAATACCACTCGACAGAATAAGTCGTGATATCAGTATTCAATACTCAGACTAAGGCAGGATGTGGAACATGGCCGATTTTTAACGTGGGACGTTCCGAGCCCGTAGGCTCGGGTAAAAATTCCCCGTAGACGCTGTATACACGGGGTCGGGTTTGTCTACCTCCCCAGACGAGACTCTGCCCTTCGGCAGAGCCTCGCCTGGGTTGACTAGAAGTTCAGTTCAACTTCAATAGTATTATTTCTTCTTTTGCTAGACAATTACCCAGGACTACTTATCATGAATGGACCAGTCGATTCATAATAGTAAAAAGGGTAACTGGCTCTTACCACAACAGATTCCTTACTAAACTTTGTTCACTGTAGCGTGGAAAGACATTTTGTCATTATATTCTCTTCGAGTTGCATGTATTATCCATTTAATTGTTTTTGGTGTTGAATGACTTCAAATGACGTAGTTTCTGTTTTTGGAGTACAGTAATTTGTTTGGGGTGCTGTATGGCCAGTCTGCGAGATCCGACGAAGGACAACTTTTTTCAAAACTCATAGGATTCATTCGCGTGGATTTTGCAATATCTTTTTTTAATCTTTTCACCTCAAGCAAGGCAATGAACCTACTAAGATGCAAGAGGTTACTGGATTTGGGAGAATACAAAGAAAGTAAGGAGAGTGAGCAATAAAAGAACATGAATGAAGAAAAAGGAAGGTAACGATTGATGTTGCATTTAAATATTTGAAGATTAAAAATGACTTTAAAGCAAGTAGTCAGAGTTTCGCAAGCGAGAAGTGCCAGAGAAAATGTTTATTTTTACTTGGTGGCGTTAACCTTTTTGCCAAGATTCTATTTATATATGTGTGAAACCTCGTTAAAGATTTGTAGAAAAATGCAATGGGTTTTAGTGATAACACTAAAAACTAACACTTGCTCACACAGAAATTGATTTATTTTTTGTGCACATGTCGGCCCAAATTTGAATTTCTATTTCGTATATATTAACCAATCAGTAACGTCATATGAAACTCACTTGAAAACGTACTTTTAAATTCCAAAGAGCAATGTTTATCGTCTGCTACGAAAATTTTAAGGTTCACTCCAGAAAAATGATCAACAATTTTCCCTCCTTAAAATAGATATTTAAAAATTGGGAAAATATTTATTAATCAATAAACTTATGAGTTTAGTAAAATCTAAATTTTAGATTTTTGGAGTCTATATATTTTCTTATAAATATTGTGATATTAAGTTAGTAAATTAGTTTTTTTTCAGTTAACCTTTGGCCAGGGTCATTCATTTGTTATACAAATTGAAATTCTCAAACCTTAATTAATACCTCACATTTTTGCATATTTACAAATGTAAGCCGTAGTATTAACACGGTCCACTGCCTAGCGGCCGTTGCAACTATAAAATTACACGCATGCATATAACTACGTAAATTCGTGACACGCTCATTCCATTATGTAGCCGCATTCTGTTTCTTCTGTTCTAACGCAATTGCTTCATTGTAATTAATTCCTTCCAATTTGAAAGAAAATTTATACACTATAATAAAATTTATTTAAATTTGTAGAGCCGTGTTGAATATAGTTTATTTTTTCGTTTTATCCACGCATATTACTCTACATACGGACCCACTGATTCATCAGTAACCGGTGATCTGGTATATCCTCTGATCGGGATAATTTATAAGAGAGGCTTTAAATTTCATGCGATTCCCAGACTAACTCACCTGACAGCCCACAGGTTGCATTGTATTTAATAATAGATTAATATAAGTTTCTAAGATGCGGTAAAAATAAAACATATGTCTAATTAATAGGTCGCAGGTGTAAATATTCTATTTTCATCCTGTAAACTCTTACGGCCACATCACGTTGAAAAACCTGTTCCCGTACAATCTCCAAAGTTAAACAACGTTGAGCCTGGTCAGTACCTAGGTGGGTGACCGCTTGAAAATACCAGGTGATATAAGTTTGGATTTTCGGATGGTGTAATGGATATTGAAATTGTTAATCGGATAACTGAGTTCCATTTCCTTTTGGTTTTGTTGCATTCTCTTACGCGCAAATACATTTGGGAAAGGTAGGAATCCATACCCTCTTCCCCCAATTATGAGATAATTAATAAGACTTGTATCACTAAGCCATTATTATCTCTATAAATAAAATAAAAGTGGGTAGGAAATATTTAGATTTCAGCATTAAATAACCCACAGAAGTTGATATGCCGCTAAACAAAAAACAATCAAGCAAATCTGTTGGTCCGGCAATATGGTTAATCTAGTATTGTTATGTAAACGAGGGTGCCGAAAAATCGGTGGTGTAATTTGTATTAATCTTTAGTTGCTTGATTCTAACAGTAAACTGATTTCGAATTAGGGATTAAGCCTTTTTACTAGCAGTCAGTCTAGGATTAAGATATAACTCTCCACAAGATGCTTTCTTTTGGTGGGTTTTTATTACGAGAAAAAAATATCCGCCATTTATTTATTTAATTGTTTCTTTTCTTTTTCTTTTTTTTTCAATTTAAAATTGTAATGGATTGAAAATGCCCGTGGCGGCACGCAACCTTTTCCGTGTCGATTAACGCGTGTGTTAATAGATTTCGACATTAACTCTTTTGAACCAACTCGCCATTTTGTTTTGCTCATTCGCTAGCTTAAGAACAACGTTCACAGTTGGTGTACGCTACACTGCGCAATGAAAAGTAATGAGCTGTCTAACTCTTCTCCTCAGAATAAAAGAGAGCAAATCAGGCGAATATTATGGAAGAAAAAAAAAAATTAAAAACTCCTCTGTTGACCCTCGACCCAGTTGCTACCTCGCTACATGATATGCACTCCTAACAAAGAGACAAAAAAAATCCACTTGAATCCTAATAATCGATAAATTATTCGAAATGGCAAAAGGCAACACATCAAGCGTTTCACAGATCGATATCACAGCTTACTGATTAGAAATCTTGCAGCTTCTGAGAGAAAATTGAACCGCGCTGCCCTCCATGTCTTTTCGATGACCAGTTTTAATTATGTCGTCTGACGGACGGACACAGTGAGTGAGTCGCCATGACAGGAGAGACAAAATGGCCGACCAGCAAACGATGTTCATCTCCTTAGAGACGCTTTTAAGACTTTAATTAGTTTCTACAAAGCGTGTTGTAATCGTGTCATATCGAATATTCTGCAACATCGTTCATTCTTCCTTCATTTTATCATCTTTTTGTTTTGTTGTTCCGTTTCTTTAAAGGAAACGATTTCATCACGAATTTACTCAAGTATCCTTTTTTCATTCCCATTCGTTTATTTGCTTGTTTGTCTACTGGAATAACGATTAGACATTGTCCGGAATATGAAGATTTACCGTTTTGTTAACCGTTGCATTCCGTTTTCGCTTAGTAGATTAGCTTGAAATGAAAAATGACACAATCAAAAATGAATAAAGAAATAACCTGTTGATGTATCGATAATACTTTAGAACTGTTTTGCGAACGCATAGTTTCGTAGTGGCCGGTGTTCGAAGCCAGGTGAAGGCATAGGTTTCATTACAACGTTCAATCAAACCTTTCGGGAGCTAAACTGCCATAAATCAGATTAGCGAGCGTAATGTTTGTTTTTCTCTTATTTCAGTGGCAGCGGTCGATTTTCGAAGCCATTTTTTTTTGTTTGTTTAACGGCATATCAACACCTTATGCGTCGTTTAATACAGAAATTTAATTTTCTTGTGAGCTTGAGTAATTTATTATTATTATTATTATTATTTATAAAATTCTATAGTTCTTTTTTATTACAAAAATATATTGCTGGTATTTTTTTACTATGAAAATTTATTTTTATGCTTTCACAAAGTTTTGACACTATTTAGTGTGGGTCGCTAATTTCCCATAGCTGGGACCCTAACTGGTGCTACCACCCCGGGTTAAGGTGAACCTGGAAACAACAGCAATTAAGAGGTGGTTCCACGCTCCTCAAAACCTCTCGATCTGTGGCCTTGCTGCCTGATGTATATTTATCGTCATACCCAGGACCATTATTTGCCATTTATTAATCCAGTGGTTCCAAACATTATTTTTTTCGGCCGCATTTTCGGAATTAAAATTTGCCAGCGCTTCACCCAATTTTATGTGCTATAAAGTATTTTTAAAAATAAAAAAAAAAAACAGAAAGATGACTAAAGGGAGAAAACCACGGATTCGAACTCAACATTATTATTGATAACTATCTTCTCCAAGTTGCAGGCCCTATTCTTAATACTTGATATAATGCAAAAATATCACAATGATAAAATCGGTGAATAATTATTTATAAATATACTGGGACTCATGCATACAATTAAAGTAATCCATAATGATATTTTAAATTTTGAAATCATTTATTTTCGCATATGAATTTTTAAAACTGTTTCTAAGTCTTTGATTGTCTTTCAACCCATCCGCCTCACCAGCTATCCTCTTTGGCTGCAGCTATAAGGCGAGCTGCACCGTTTGGGGGCCACTCTACTAATCTAATACTGCTTTTACTGTATGCATCTATATACAGTACTGCTCTCTCTCTCTCTCTCTCTCTCTCTCTCTCTCTCTCTCTCTCTCTCTCTCTGTTCTGTGACCCTTCCCTTCTTGTTGCCGATCACAGCTCTCCACAATTTCCTGTCCTTTGAAGCTCTTAAACCTTGTTCCACCATCCATTTATTCAAGCTCGCTAGGTAGGGTTATGCATTGTCCTATGTCCCTCTTGTCTTCAGCCTTTCCTGTAAGTATCAAATGTTACAAAACCGTTTTCCTCATTATGTGCTCTAAAACTTTCAACTATTTATTTCTGATGTTAAGTATAAGTGTCTTTTTGGTTTCCATTTTCTATAAAATATTGTTGTTTCTCAAATGTTCGCTCCATGGCAAATTTCTGTTGCTTCAAGTCTCCTTTTCGTCTGTGATGAGATTGTCCAGTATTCACTGTCATATAGAAGGATTGATATTTCGTAACAGTCCAGTGCTCTTTTCTTTGTTTTTAACAAAAATGCCCTCTTTCTTAATACCCTGCTTACATCTTGGAAGGCATCTTTGCTATCCCAATACGTCTTCGGATTTCAGTGTCGCACTTTCCATTCTCTCTTTGATTTTGGTATCTCCAGTTTGTAATTTGCATATTAGGCTGTTCCTTTTACTAACAACCATGCATCCTCTCATATTACAGTTGAGGTTAAGTCCTTTCTTCTCACTTTCCTTCATTACTTTCTGTAGAAGTGTCTGCAGTTTACTTTCTGTATCTGTTATCAACACTGTGCCATCTACATATTTTATCTTGGTGAGATTGTCTGCCTCCAATAATGAAAACTATTGGGACTTTAAATTTTCTCAGAATCGCCTCACTATATAAGTTGAACAAGTCCAATGAGAAGACACATCCTTGTCTTGCACTTCTCTCACACACAAACACAAACACACACAAAATAATACTAGCAACCAAATGCTCGTTACCCAGTACACCCTTCTTCTAGTTTTCCGGTTATTTGTGTTTATCCAACACCAACACAGCCAACCTGTGATTTATACTGCAACTATAATGACCGTATTGGAGGCACGGTGGAGTAATGGATTGCGGCTCAGATTGAGGAATCGGAAAGCCGAATCCGAGTTCCAGTCGAGTTCATCACATTCACTTACGTGCTAAGACCATTAGGAAAGGTATGATTCCATTTCCCCACAAAACCCCACTTCACCCCAGCTATGGGTAAATAGCCGGACAGACTGGGTTCTCTAGCCTAGAGTGCCAATCGGTTTAGGTTTAGGAAACACTCTGAATTGAAAACCTCAAACTATGGGTAAATAGTAGTGCAGTCTGGGCTCTGTAGCCACGGTTGGCAACCAGACTAGGAGAAGAACAACTCGGAGCCGGACTCCCTAAGACAATCCGATAATATGTTTCGTTCTGTCAACTCCTGCAACAACGCCGGTATCAAGCTTTATTGGTCTGTCTTTCCCTTCGACAACATTGGTGACATGAAGAGGGTAGACGTACTGTATGGGTAATTGCCGGTCTCTCTCACTAAAAAAAAAAAATGCAGAGTGCAGATCTCGAGACCAACGAATGCCAATAAAAATACTGACCGGAGCCTAGTTACACCTCCTGGGAGAAGACACATAATCCAGTGTGATAGCAGTTGAAAAATGTTAATACACTCAAGCCGTCAGTGACAATGACTTGTGGCTTTGTGCTAGCACAAACATCGTCGGTTTTTAGTTTCGCCTACCCAATGTAAGACAAAAGATTTGAACCAGGCAGTGGTGTAGTTTTCAAGCATTTCCCAGTGGTGCAGCACACAAGGAATCTCTCCCTTAGTCGATATATCTTGAATATATCACCTTAAAAATCGTCAGGTCTGACGATTGCGTCTAGCATGAAACAGCCTGTTGCTTCTGAGTGTTGACTTCAATGTCCACCTTTATATTTACATAAGCTCTATCTCTGATATTGAGCACTTTATCTCATTAATATAGCACACCTTAAAACTATATTTCTTTATATATATATATATATATATATATATATATATATATATATATATATATCTGATTGAATAAATTACAAATATTATGTCTTCTTATTTTTATCATAATCCTTTCATATCCACGAATATTTTCCGTATATTATAGTTGAATGAGGTAAGAAATGCACTGTAACATTGAAAATCACTTTTATTTCCCAAGTACTTTCCATCTTTTTCTGAGATCATCATCAAAGGTGCAATTAGTAAGGCAAAAACTATGTGTAGTCATCCATTACTAAATTATTTTCGATTGTGTTTAAATGTTACAACTGACAGTTATTCTTTAGCGTTCATTAGAACGTGAAAAGTTATCCACTATGGAATTTTGGCTTTTATGTTTTAATGCGGACTCGACCATGACATTTCAACTTAAAGAAAAAATTCCATGAATATGAAAAGATTATGATAAAATAAGCAGATACAATGTTTGTAATTTATTCAATCAGACATGCCTAAGAGAATTTGCTGCCTAAATACACACACGCACATATATATAGATTAGAGTGTGCAACTTATATCTTATATCATAAAGAAACAATTTATACAAAGAAGTAATTAGCAACGTTAATGTGATTAACGGCGAGATTTCGCCATTAATCACATTAACGTTGCTAATTAATTCTTTGTATAAATTATTTCTTTATTATATATATATATAAATATATATATATATATATATATATAATAATAATAATAATAATAATAATCGACTCTCCCGTCGAGATTCGACGTATGAGGGTCAAGCAGATCAGTTTCCAGGAAACCGACAGCCTGACAACGACACATGAGATTATAGTGGTGAAGGCTTCGTGCAGGACCATCCACACTTTTTGAAGGGACGAATACAGAGACTTGGTGCACCGCTTGCCACAAGGGTCCCAAAGGACCATCCGCAGGTTTTGAATTTAGAGTTGTCTTTCTCCTAGACCAGTCGCCATCCTAGGCTATAGAACCCACTCTGTCCTGTCATTTTACCCATAGCTGGAGGGAGAGGAAGAGGATTCATACCTTTCACAAGGGTATTAGCACGTAAGTTAATGTAATGGATTCGACTGGAATAGCGGCTTGGATTGAGGATATATATATATATATATATATATATATATATATATATATATATATATATATATGTGTGTGTGTGTGTGTGTGTGTGTGTGTGTGTGTGTGTAGATAGATAGATAGATAGATAGATAGATAGATAGATAGATAGATAGAAGGATAAGTTAAAAATTATATGCAATTTCGCCATAACATCTTTAGATTTGTAGCACTGCCTTCTGCTCATGCGTGCTTATTGGTGGTACTACTGTGACTATTGTGGTCACCTAATCGCGCCAGTTTTCTTACTGCTGTGTACAGTGACCGCTCTGCTAGGAATGTGCGCCAAGGAAGAACAAAGATCAGTGATCGGCATCTGTGGAGAACATGTTACCTGATTGATGATAACTTGCCGAGCTTGCTGAATCTTCTTGTCAGGGGTTGACGGGCGTCACGCTTGTCCAGCCACTTTTAAACTTCTCGATCCACTCATACACATTTCTAGGCGGTAGTGCACTGTCACAGGATTGTGTTAAAAGCCCCCAAAGAATTTCAGCCACTGAAACACTTTCCAATCAGAGAAATCGGATCAGTAATCTTTGTTCCTCCTTGGTGCTCACTGCTAACGGAGCGGTCATGTTTACACTGTAGCTGCAGCAAGAAAACTAACACGATCAAGCATAAACTTCGATCACGTTACCACAATGGCACCAACTATAATCACGCATAAGCAGAAGGCGGTGTGACAAACATAAAGATACGAATATGTTATGGCGAAAGTGGAGATAATATTTTACTTCACACGCGCGCACACACACACATACATACATATATATATAGTTATAAGATAGATAAATTAAACGGCTAGATATAAGCAAGGGTATACGCGCGTGCTGGTGCGCATGCGCGGTCAAGCACGCGCGGTCAAGCAAATAAATAATCGTCAAAGTTATATATGACGTGTAAACATAACAGTGCTCGGTGTGATTATACGGAGCAAAAATATATATTAATTAGTACATATACGTGTACGTACATTTTGGTGTGCGACTAAACTTTCGCTGGATTACCAACTTAGGCCAACTTAATAAAAGGACCGAGGTAATGATTGCATGTAGGCATAAAAGACCGTATATCTTAAAATATTGAAAGCCTGACTGATTCTAATCCCTCTTATTTTATTAATATACAGGTGACATACCCCACTCTCACCTGTTTACTTTATTATACTAATCTATATTCTCATATATTAAAATTACTTTCCTTATGCTCATCCTCATTTCTATACTTTTTTATTTCATTTCTTTCCTTACCATCATTATTTTTTATTTTCATTCATTTTTACCTTCCTTAACGTTATATTGACTCCGCCAGAATAGTGTCTTTAATTTGAAATTTGTAATCATTGTTTTTCCTTATACTTTTTCTATCCTTCTTACTTTCTTTATTTAAAAAAAAAATGTAACTCACCAGCATTTAACACACTTCTGTGCAATTTTATTTTTGCGTTACGTAGCAGTGATACACCCATAAGCCATATGTTTATTTTTAACAACATAGATCTTGTGCCTGATGAGCTGGTAATCCAGCAAATCTTTAGTCGCAAACCAAAACGTAGGGAAATGTATATGTACTAATTAATATATATATATATATATATATATATATATATATATATATATATGTGTGTGTGTGTGTGTGAGAGAGAGAGAGAGAGAGAGAGAGAGTAAGAGAGAGAGCGTAATGGTTAGCTGAACGGAAAGTGAATTCTATTTGAGTTCAAATTCCGGTCTAAGTTGTTGCGATCACTTCCGCACAAAAAACCTTTGGGAAAAGCATGAATTCATTTATTCTCCCGTCAGTTACGCGTTAAATACGCTTGGCAACCCATCTTGGAGAAGGAAAACTCTGAATAAAAGGTGTAAGGGCCATCCAAGTTATAAGCCTAAAGAGGGAATGGACGAAATGGAGGGAGAAAATGGCGCGTACTATGAGGATATGTAGGGTAAATATCGGTTGACCCTAGACTTGAAGTAGTTGGGGAAGCATCCTTTCGGGAGTTTGTTCTACAAAGT